TCAAACACAGGAACACATACTCTAAACAAATGCAAATTGCTGTGAGTGCATCATCAGTTGTCACTCCCCCTTGTCCTATCTCACTCTGGCGATCTCGATTAGGACCTCTTGATCTCCCACAAGTATGCTTTTACCAGGTCTTTGTTATGTTCATAATAAGGCTTAAAATTTGGATCAATTTATTTTTCAGTAACCACAGCAAAAGTAAAAATTAACTTTTCTTTACTCTTGCTGATTGAGAGTGAAAAATATTTTTTTTCATTAATAGAAAACAGTCTTTGTCCCACATGCCCTCTTGCACCATTTCAGGCATCCTATATTGGGAAGCTGCCTTGTGTAGGTTTGTGAAATGTGTAGCTGACAGTAAAAATTTACTAAAGTAAGAAGGTTTGAACTATACAAAATCAGTTTTCAAAAAACTACATCCACCTACTAAAGCCTATGGAACGACATTGGGCTTTGGTAGAACAAGCCCCTCACTCCCTCCACTAGCCATGTACCCCAGTGCAGGCTTAGCCTGTTGTCCTGACATCTCTGTCAGTTCCTTTGGAGACCCTATTAATTGATATGAAATAACTACATTGCAAACCCAGTCTGCCTACAGTTTTTTTTATAATGGTGAATGATCATGTGCTAGCCAGTCTAGCTAGGTTGGCTAATCCAACTTCTCTGTCACCACCATTAGGTTCTGGTTCCTCCACATCCGCTCACTCAGAACTAAGGGACATCTTATCCAGGATCTCGTCATCGACATTAAATGTGACTTTCTTTGCCTGATAGAAACCTGGCAACAACCTAATGGCTGCTCTAAGCTCAGTTTTTCAACTCGACCTGGCGTTGTTTACGTTTCCCAAGCATGCAAGACCAGCCATAAAGACCATCCCGCAATAATCCACTATAAGATGATGACACCTCATCCCAATCCCAACTCTAACCTCCATGAAATGTCTTCCATTTAAAATTACTAGACATCCATCCATCCATCCATCACACCTGCCTATTTAGGGTTGGATCGTGGGGGTAGCAGCTTCAGTAGGGAGGCGCAGACATCCCTTTCCCCAGCCACTTGGGCCAGCTCCTCCAGGGGAATCCCAAGGTGCTCCCAGGCCAGCCGAGAAACATAATCCTCCAGTGTGTCCTGGGTCTCCTCCTGGGCTTCCTCCCGGTGGGACATGCCTGGAACACCTCACCAGGGAGACGTCCAGGAGGCATCCTTACCAGATGCCTGAGCCATCTCAACTGGCTCCTCTCGATTTGGAGGAGCAGCGGCTCTACTCTGAGTCCTCCCCGGATGACTGAGTTCCTCACCCTATGTCTAAGGGAGAGCACAGACACACATCTGAGAAAAGTCATTTCAGCAGCTTGTATCCGGGACCACGTTCTTTCAGTCATAAACCAAAGCTCATGACCATAGATCAGAGTAGGAACGTAGATTGACTGGTAAATCGAGAGCTTTGCTTTTTGGCTCAGATCTCTCTTCACCACAACAGACCGGTACTGTGCACACTTCACAGCACACAGCCCCAATCTGCCTATCGATCTCCCGCTCCATCTTCCCCTCATACATGAACAATCCTTAAACTCCTGCACTATGGTCAGTACATCCTCCCCAACCTGGAGAAGGCACTCTACCCTTTTCTAGCTCAAGACCATGTATTTCGTCTCGTATTTGGAGGCAGTGATCCTCATCCAGGCCGCTTCACACTCTGCGAACCATTCCAGTGAGAGCTGTAGATCACTCCCCGATGAAGCCAATAGAACCACATCATCTGCGAATAATAGAGATGTAATCCTAAGGCCACCAAAACAGATCCCCTCAACACCTTGGCTGCGCCTAGAAATTCTGTCTGAATCCATACTTTGGTTCCCTATAATGCTGAAAGGCTAAATATTTCTTAACCCTCAGCTTTCTGTCCAGCCAGGATTCTATGTCTCCTTTTGATTAAAATGTTTCAGACAGCTGTGCCCTAATACTGTCACAGTCTTGGTTTGTTAGTTCCTGTTTTCTTGGTTTTCCATTTGTTGTCCTCTGCTGCCCTGTTGTGTCCTCTTTCCCTAACTCTGTTTTCTGCTCTGCCCTCACCTGTTTTCAATCCCCTCGTTAGCCCTCTCTTTGTTTCTGTTCCCTTTAAAAGCCTGCCTCCTCAGTTCCTGTTTGCTGGATCCTTGTCTAACGTCTGTCTGCTTACCTCGTCTCTCCCTGGCTCCTAGAGTTTGGTTTTCCCCTGATGACTCCTTGGTTCTGGTTCGTTGTTATTTCTGTTGGACTTTTTGATTCCTGCCTCAGTTCCTGTGAACTTCATTAAACCCACCAAAATTTACCTCTGCCTACTTGCCTCTGATTTTGGGTCCTCAAACCAACACCAAATCCTGACAAATACCTATGGAAATCACAGGATATTATTGTCACATTTTAAAGGAACATACTCAATATTTGCCAGAAATTTCTGCACCGCTTTTAGTGTCGCTGTCAGCGTGGCCACTCAAGACCAAATGTGCCAGGGGGCCAGGAGGGGGCCAGGAGGGGGCCAGTGTGTTTTCATGGCGGCACATAAAAGAGTGAAATAAAAAACAGGGCAAGGGATTCAAATATATTAAGATAGCTGCATGAAGTGAAATTTCTATTCACTTAGGTTTAATTAAAATTGTATTTATCATTAGGACAATATACATTCATAATTTGGGAATTTTAAATATTTTGACTTAATTTATGTTAAAATTACCATTTTCTATAAAATCTGAATTAGAACTAAAGAAAAACTGATAAATTCAGCTGTACAAATTCAAGCATTTGTTTTTATTTGATTGGAAAAAAAAAACATTTAGCAGATGAAAACTGGGATCCTATCTCAACATCTTATTGTTTTTATGTTGGGATCCTCAGGCTTGCCCACCAGAGGGTGCCGAGGATCCTCTTCTGTTCTGTGTATTTTTCTCCTAGGGCTGGAATCTTCCTGCACACCTGTTGCTAATCCTCTCATCAGAAGACCTCTCCTTTATAAGCTCCTGCCTGACCTTGCTTCCACGCCGCAGTGTTGATCTTAGTTGGTTAGCTTCCAGAGTCTCTGTTTTTGATTGAATCTTGGTTGTCTCTAGTGTGAGATTCAGATTCTAATCTCTCCTTCGTCTGTGCCTCACAGGAAACCTGTCTCTGGTCTGAAGCTCAGGAGGAGCTGCCCCTCTGGAACCCTGTCTCTGGTCTGAAGCTCTGGAAGAGCTGCATCACAGGAAACCAGTCTCAAGTAGGGGTGGGTATTGCCAAAGAAATCACGATTCGATTCGAATCACGATTCACAGGCCACGATGCGATTCTATCACGATGCATCACGATACTTGAATTATTGCGATGCATTGCAATATTTTCTCCTCCATGTTTTGTTTTTGAATGACTCGGCACAGTATCCCACGGCCGGAAATGCTTGTGACACAAGGCAGCGTGCGTCAACACATTTGCAGCGACATCTACTGGACTGGAAGTTGTATTACACTTGTTTTTGGCTGATGTTCGCCAACCATTCATGCAATTTATTTATTCATTTTTTTAAATTAATAATCGATTCTTGGCATCAAGAATCGATGCAGTAGATCACGAAAATTAGAATCACGATGCATCATCATCACGATTATTTTGCACACCCCTAGTCTCAAGCCTGAAGCTCTAGGAGAGCTTAACCTGCTAATCTGCCCTGGTGAGCCAACCCGAAGATTCCTACGTGGATGTAACCTAAGACTTCTATGTGGAGTTTCCCTGGAGGTTCCTATGTAGAATCAGCTTCAAGAATCCTATGTGGATTTTCCCCTGTTGTTCCCTGCTAAGAGCTGGAAGCTCAGCCTGAAGAATCCTTTGTGCTTATCCCCTGTTGTTCTCTGCAGTGAGCTGGAAGCTCAGATCAAGGCCAGCCATGCTAAGTATGAAGCTAGATGCTTAGCTTGCTCATGAACTCAGCTAACCTACAATCTCCCGTACCAGTATAATCTCCAGTGAACCTGCTCCTCTGTCTGAACCAGTTCCAGTTTCATCATTCATGTTGTGCTTCAATAAACTCTTTTGAACTTTTACCCAGTCTCTCTGTGTGTGTTCTGCATTTTGGGCTTAACTCTAGAACCCATCATGACATTTTAAATAATTAGTAAAACAGAATTTGTAAATAAAAAAAAAAAAAGAAATACTCTAACGGTTTTCAAGAAATATAAAAAGAAACATATTTACATAAATTTCTGGCATGTAAAAACACTTAGCATGTAAAACACTTTAAATGTGCATGTAAAAAAATTAACTTTGTTTTTACTTACTTTCATTTAACAACATAACTCTTCCCATTCAGAGCCAGAAATGACTCCTAATGAGAACATTAAACATTCACTTATTGACATATTACCTGCTGACTGTAACACGTCATAATAAACATAGTTAACAACAAAATTATCATTATTGTGTTAAAAACTTAAAAAGCTGCAACCTCATTTACATTTTATCTCATTTTGCATAAATATACAATCATTTTGGATACATACATTCATTTGTTTTAATTGGGTTAAAGAGTTGTGGCAATGATTAGTAGCCAATGGAACAAATCTAATGACAACAAAAAGTGTCCTGGTAAAACCAGAATTCGAAGATGAAAATAGCTGAAAAGAAAAACTACAAAAGCAAAACAAAGCAATATATTTATATCCAAGCTAAATGTTTCATAATATATGTGTACTTAAAAAAATATATATATATACTGATTGTTACTGACTGTTGTTGATCTTGAAGTTTCTTTATTTAATTAAAAAGCTGATACTAAGATAAAATATCTGAAATAAACACATTTTTATGTGAAACATTGTGTTGCTGCACTGATAAAAGACAGAATACCACAAAAGAAAAAAAACTGTGTCAAGTATTAAAATCCACAAATAAAAAATGTTTATAGTTGTTCCAACATCTGTGTACGTCTGTTATTGTTTTCAATGTGTTTCATAGAATAAACCGCTCCATGTGTTGCTTCTGGACTCTACATTCCTGTAAAGAAGAGAAAAGAATAAAAAGATTGAAAATGTTTCTTTTTCGCCTTCATTTTTTGCAGCCATCACCGTATATTAGGAGAGTTTGACAACTTTGCTCATTTTAAAAGACTTGCTATATTTTAAATACTTTTATGCTCATTGCTAAGAAGGGGAAAACTGTTACTATTAATGTGCATCAGTAAACAATCAGAAAAAATATCTAATTATACAGCTTTAAGAATTATAGATTATATAGAAGGACCATATTATTATATTTACAAACATTGCAAACATATATACCTTTCGGTAAATTTTTTTCTTTTTCATTATGGTGAATTGTCTTTTAGCATTCACTCAATTTTAAGAAAAAACAAGATCTCAGTATTTTTCCAAAGAATAACAAGTTCCTCATCCTTTGAAAAAAAACAGAGAAGAGAGATGATGGCTCAGAGCCACTGATTCACTGACAGAGTTCCTCTAATTGCTCGCTGAAGTTAAAGGCTATATATATAATATCTAATTGCTCATTATGAGTGGGAACAAAGACTTTATATGTCAGTTAGAAGCATCTCTAATCTAAAGAAGCTCCTCATATCATCTAACCACCAGCAACAGACTGACATGTGGCTGCCCAGATGTTGCTTTTAACTTTCTATGCTTTGCTGAATTAGTTTCTGTTACTACTATACTATTTTTTCACAGAGAAATACTAGACTTGCACATTATGATTTATCTTTTTGGTTTTTTATTTTTTTGCAGGAATGGTTATTTGATGCTGTTAGATTTAGTTGCAGATCATTTTATTTTTGTTAAATGACTTGAAAAGCATAACTTTTTAGATTCATATAGTTGTGCTTAAAAATGTACATACCCTCCCATTAAAGAAAATGATACATTTCCACTAGTAATTCAAATAACACAAAACTGAAAAGGTATAAATAAATTAAAAATGACTAAATTGTTATTTTCTTGGTGCTGATAACTAGCCTGATTACTCATTTCATTCGCCTTCTTAGCTCCGCCCAGTTCTCATGACCGTTCATCTGATCAACCTGCTTCAGCCGCTATTTAACCAGCCTTTAATCAGTCATCAGTGCAAGAATATTCAAGCCTTAGGTGAGAGTGCGTTTTTATTATCAAACTTCCTATATTTCATCACTGAATTTGTATTGTGTTGTATTTAAAGCTTAGTTAACAGGAAACTTTTTCAAAGTCTTCAAAATTTTTTATCAAAAAAAGTATGATGCATAAGTACTTTTACCAGTAACTTGTTACTGTGATTATGCAGTAACTAGGTAACTAACTTAGTTACTTTGTTAAGAACTAACTAGTAACCATAACCAATTACCTTTTCTTTTTTTTTTAAGTAATACTGCTGTTGGAGCTGAAAGCACCCACCTGTGGTTTCTGCTTCAATATTACTGTAAACAGGATCCTCATCTGGGTCATCAGGGCTCCCTGTTAATGATACAAAAATTAACAAAGAAAAGAATATCTAAAGGTGAAAAATGTTAAAACATCTTTTCTCATAGCCGCTGATTCTGGTTTTCACAAGCAAACAATTGAGTACAATTCTATGAGATGATTGGGCCCCTGACTCCCATGTCGAGTTTTGTTTTACAGCTGGCGGAGTTAGCTGAATAATCAAACTCTTAGGAAATCTGGTCAGGGGGAACACGCAACACGCAACGGCCAATTGGCTATTCAGTGAATAAAGAGATCAGTGGGGTCTTCCAGCTAACACTGACACATCCAGGTTTGTTTTGCTTCAACCGTCTGCCTCTGATTGACATGTTTTATGTCACACATATCACTGCATTTCATTGGTCAGAAACATTCTGAATTAAGGCGTGTTTTTGCTCCTGGCAAGATGTATTTTAATGAGTGTGTGAATTCACATATCTCACGACAATTCAACTTTCTTGCAAGGTATTTTATAGGAACTCGGCAGAAGTATTCAGATCTAAAAATATACAGTACATCTCTTCATACTTTTAATGTGTTAGAGAAACTTTTATTTTCATGTTGAAGCTCATTAAATAAGAACTTTGAAATTATTAAAGAAATACCTAATAAAGATATAATATTTCAAAGCATTAAAATCTGTCAACTGAAATCAGCCAGTTTTTGCATCTCTGACTGCTTCAAGAAATATAGTTTACCTTTGATTGTGGCCCGGTGAAATGACTCATACTCAACATCACCTGCAAAACAAAAATAGGTCAAAGTCAGAGTAAAGGAAACATGTTTTATATTTTATACTCAAACATTTAGATTTCAATTTTAATTAAATTCAGGTGTAAACCAGGTTTAACCATTTTCCTTTATTCATACAACAAACTCCAATATTGGGTGTTTTGATAAATATTTATTAAATCAAAGATTTCAGGAAGTTATTTCAAAGTCTAAATCAAATACAAAGCTACTAACCGTGCAGCAGAGAGCTGTAAACTTGGCTGTCTGTCTGGTTGACTCCATGATTGGTGGTGGAGCTCTGACTGTTGCTTTCTGACCTAAATTATAATTAAAAGTTAAACTTAAATTCAAAGTATAGATGATGATGAATGTTAAGATCAGAGGAAAGTGAACACTGATGTACTGGCCTGATGCAGAAATCTGTGGACAAAAAGAGGGAATTTATTGTATTGTGATACAAATTATTTCCTTTCTCAGTTTTGTCAAAGCAGTGAAATAGATTTAAATTATTTAGTTGTTTAAGTATTTAATTCACGACATAGTCCACCACAGTATGAGAGGAAGAAGCGTCTCACCTTTGAACCGTGTGTAGCACCACAACAGCAGCAGCAAGATAATGAGAATTATTCCTATAAATGGTCCAACAATCATCAGCACAGCAAATGAAGAGTCAACAGGACTGGACAGAGACACTGTAACAAAGAAAAATTAAATATAAGAAAGCATAATTTACACTGACAATAAATTAAAGAACAGAATACACTGTAACAGTGCCTATTTAAAACAACCACCCTGACAGCCATTCATTCCTGACACGATATTCTTCCTGCCATATATTTAGTGTATCAGTATTTACAGGAATACATTATCATTAAAGTTTTTGTTTTTTTGTTTTACTGTGACCATTTCTTGCCTGCTTTTTTGTTATTAAAGATCAGATAAATACAATTACAAGAAAATCAGGGGATTTATACTTTCCTTGAAAACAAAGCTTTAGTGAATCAACTGCATCAAATGTTTTCATCCTCTCACCTCTAACAGCCATCCAGCTCTCTGGTGACTCCTTTCCTGAATGTTCACACTTGTAGAAACCTTCATCTGACTTTGACACTGCATAGATGTTCAGCTCCTCTCTGCTGTCATTGTGGATCAGTTTGTTATTGTGATAGAAAAACACATTGGAGAGAAGTTTTTGTTCTTTATTTCCGCAGCTCAGAGTAACAGGATCTCCCTCAGTCACAGGATGGACGGGGCTCACCAGGATAATACTATAATGTTTATCTGTGAAACAGTCAAGATAATCAGGTTTTGGTCAGCAATCAGCCGGTTTATAATTATCTGCATATTTGAAAATTAGCATTTTATCACTAGAAGTTAAACCAAGGTAATGGACATAGCAGCTTTTACTAACAATACAAGAATCTCAGATTCTCAGAAATTATGAATTGTTCTGAATGTTAAGAATCCAGTTTGTGTGGTCTGTTTGTTTGTTTCCTTTTCTCCACCACCAGGAGGTGCCCTGTCTTCATTTTCCCTCCCTGCACACCTGCGGCTCATTAGACCATTATCTGGAGGAGTATTTGAGCAGTGGGCTGTCACTACCTCGACGCCAGAGGGTTTGCCAGTTTTGGGTACTCTAGCCAAGCTAAGATTAGCTGAGTCTAACCTAGCTTTGTTTCTCTGAGACTTATGTACTTTTGTGATTTGTAATTTACTGTGAACTGTTATTTACTCTAATAAAGTAACAGCAACTCTCCTCTATTGATCTATTATAAACTAAATGCTTCATGTTATCTGTTTTATAGGTGGAGGATTAATCTGTTGTTTATGCTTCAAAACTACCTTGGAGCAAACATTTACTTAAACACATGAAGCCACATGTTGGAAAAACAGAAAAGTGAAAGAAGGAAGCTGAGTTGAAGGATTTTGCAGGAAGAAAATATTTCGCCTCCTTTTTTATTTATTTACTTCTAAGTTTTCTTGCAGAGCAAATACAACATATCAGTCTCTGGATATTAATGTTATGTTCACAGTAACTGCAGCTTTTATAGTATGTGGAAACACAGGAAAATGTGAAAGTAAATATAAATCATAACCTACCCTGTACAGTGATGTTGACTGCGTTGCTAAAATCTCCTGATCCAGACTCACACCAGTACACTCCACTGTGAGACCAGTCTGTGTTTATAGAACATAAGGACCCAGTCATTGTCCCCCAGTTGGAGCAGTGAATGTCTGATAGTCCACCTGTTTCTGTAAACCTCCTCATTCTCCACTCAGTGTTGTTCCCACTACAGCTCAGAGTGACAGACTGATAGGTAAAATGTTGAACTCTGTCTGGAGTCACTGAGAGAGAAGCAGCTGGATGAGCGTCTGAAAAAAAAACCCCATGAAAATAACACATAATTAAATATTTGCATTGCATCTTTTTTTTAAGTTATGTTGAAAAATGTGCTCTAATTTAAATGGATTGTAAAAAGAAGTGATTTACAGAAAGATAAACATCAAAGGGGCCTAATCACCTTTAATAGCAAAGACCCTAAACCTCAGATATTCATGTTAAAACAAAGCAATAGATGCCAAGCATTCATCCTGATAGTGTTTACTTTGTTCTTTTTGAGCATGAAGAGATTTTCTTACCAATTGCGATCAATAGACATAAACTCTGCTGTGCAGCCTCACCATCATCTAACAAACTCTGGCAGCTTCAGCTCCTGCCTCAGTGAAAACCAAAGTTCATATTTATTCTAAGCGCTACTCAGCTGTTTCCCTCTTGGCATCAAACATTTTGTTCTGCTTTTCACACTTGATCTGGACTTTCTCTCTTTCTTTTCACATCTCTGGTTGCTTTATTCCATTACTCTCTGGTTTACTCATTGCGCAAATGGATAATACTGTATGTCTGATAACATGATCTTGTTATAGTAAATATTGAGAAGACATAAGTTTAAAATAAATTGTGATAAATACAAAGAGAAAAGGCAGAAATAAAATACAATAAGCCAACAAGGCACCATAATTTATTCCAAAAGTCTTTGTAAACAACCAAAGTTACTGGTGTAGAATGTGTAGAGCCATAGTATGTGACAGCCTCCCTTCAAGCAGAGGTGCTAAAATCTAAGGAATGAAAGACAAAAATAAAAACTAACTACAGTGAATTAAAATCTAATTGCATTTTTTGATATTCTCCTTATTTAAAGTGACAAAAGTCTCACAGTCTTAAAGTTCCAGAGCTCTAATATAATAATAGGTAAATGCAGCCTCTACCCTTTAGTATCAGCAGTAGATTACCACTGGATGACCTTAATGATCTAGGTGGGACCAACCAGGTAGTCACTAAGGTATGGGGACCAAGGCAATGAAGACCTAATAACCACTAAAATCTTCAGATAATTGTAGAGAAGGCCATTGGATTGATTTGAGAACCAGAGTAACATGGCCACCTTTCTGTGTGTTAAAATGAAGCTTAAAGTAATCAGAACTGGTTCACAAGTATGAAGCTGAAGCATTGACAGCTAACATTGACTCTAAAAAAGATATTGGCATTATAGAATGTAACATCATAAAATCAAACACTGTCTTTGAAATACCCAGCATATAAACTACAAAAAATAAAAAAAAATAATAGGACCTTTTAAAGTTGATTTTTTTTTTTTTTTTATAACTAGAGCTTTTAGAGTGGCTGCAGTTGTCTTTGGCCCCTCATAACTTTCAGTTACCATGGCAATGCAGGTTGGCACTGTTTTGGCATCAGGGGTGGAGTTAAACTGAAGGCTCCTTCAGGGCCTACAGGTTTTATAGGTTTCCTTTCAATCTACCTGCAAAATTTTTGCTTCAAACTTGATGGGGAGCACAACCGTGGAGCCACCAAGGTCTTTAGGTTGTATATAATTATATATTCAACTAAAAAGAAAATGATAATTTATTATAGAAGTCCTGAGAAACTGCTTTAGGGCGAGCCGACAGAATTGACAAAGATTCATAAATGTTCAAATGTTTTAATAAAAACTGAGCAAAAGTCCGGTTGCCTCTGATTTAAGCTGGTTTTGTGTTTTTTGTGGTTGTCGTGACCCAGATGACTGAGAATTTTCACTTCTTAGTTAAGATTCCAGTTTGCTGCACTCACAGCTAGTCTGACTAGGCTATAATAATAAAATGGATAATATATGAGGTTTACAAAACTACATTTCCACCTAGGAAAATCTGAAAAGTTTATCTTGGTAAACAGAAAGCATTTTTTAAAGTTTAATTCACAATTGTGTTGTTCTGTTGTTCACCTTGGCCATCTGCTATTGTTGCCCACTTAATTTTTAAGGAATCTTGGTGAAAAAAGGACAGAATCAGCCTAGAATTGCTGCCTTCAAGCAATGCAGCCCCTGAATGTAGACATACACTTAGACTTAAACTGATGGACTGCAGGTAGATGAGAAGAAGCTGATAAAACATGAAGGAGACTTCAGATAAACTCTGACAAACCTGAGCTGATTCTAAATATAATGGACAGCATTATAGGTGAAATGCAAATTGTTGAAAAATAATAAAAATTTAAAACACAAGGATCCTTGAAGGAACAGAGATAAACTGACCTGCAGACCAGACAAACTTTGCTTCACTGTATTCAGTGTAAAACACTGGTTCTCCTCTTCCTGCTCTGCACACATATCCTGCTGAGTGATTCTGTCCATTAATGAGGTAGGAGTTCTGTTCAGTCCAGTTGGTTCTGTCAGTCAGCAGCTCTAAGCTGTAGGAGCTGCTGGATTTAGCTGGAACCACTTTATACCAGAAGAACCTCCATCCTGCAGATGGATGCTCCAACCCCCCACAGCTCAGAGTCACTGAGGCTCCAGGACTCAGCCATGATGGAGACACAGAGAGGACAGGCTGAGGTTTATCTGATGGAGACACAGAGAGGACAGGCTGAGGTTTATCTGATGGAGACACAGAGAGGACAGGCTGAGGTTTATCTGATGGAGACACAGAGAGGACAGGCTGAGGTTTATCTGATGGAGACACAGAGAGGACAGGCTGAGGTTTATCTGATGGAGACACAGATGGTGAAAAATAATGGTTAGATCCAGCCTATATACGGTAGTATAGATACTGCAGTTTAAAAACAATCTGGTAACAGTTAAAGTACCAAGTTGACCTCTTTACTCAAGTAAAAGCGAAAAAGTATGTGCTCCAAAAACTACTTAAAGCATTGAAGTATAAAGTAACTCTAAAGTAAATGAATTGAATTATCAATTTTTCAACTATTTCGAAAAATTCTTTGATATAGGGCCAAGGATGAGGGAGGTCTGTTGGTCACCGTCTCCATCTCCCGATAGGCTCTGGCCTGCTTCTGACCTTTCACACATTTCGACATCTTTTTCTGAATCCTACATTGTAGCATGGGATAGAGAATTCACGTTTGCAGTTTGAAGAACACCTGCTTGCTTCTAATGATTTTCTTTGGCGTCAGCACAAATTTGACAAATAGCTAACCAATGAATGTTTGCGTCATATGATTCATCCAATTGCACTAGTTTTCACTAGATGTGGATGGCGCCAATGATCTGCATTGGATGGCGCACATGATATGAAATAAATATTTATAAACATTAAACCAGGGGTAACCAATTAAAAATCAGCGGGGCCCGAATAAAGAAAATCATCAACCAGTAAAGGTCCAGAGACATTTTTAATGATCTGTTACTTAAACAAAATTTAACACTGAAATAAAATGAGGTATTTATGCATTCATGTTATACATTGAATTTAAGAAAAAAAATTGAAATTGTAAAATATTGCATCCTGTGCTATCTGAGAGGAGTTGACACTTGTATGACTGTATTCCTGTATATCCATCAGTAGGTAAAGGAAAAGGGTCAGTAAATGCAAATTCTACCATTTAAAACAATGCCAGCGTTATTGTCGCTGCGTGATCTGAAGCCTCATTTGGAGCTTTTAAACAGGCTTTTGTAAACCTTTGTTAATTTGCTGCTGTAATATTATAGATTTTTTTTTAGAATAAAAAGATATAAAATGTGCATAATCAAAAAATAACAAATACAATTATAGAGCATTCAGTATTGTAAGAAAGCCCACAATGTTTCTGAATAAATACTGCACCATAGCTATCTGACGCTTGCGAATGCATCACACTGGTCTGGTCTGTTTCCGTTTAAGACAAAGCTTTGCAGTTTTCAAACTCCCATCAGCTATCACTGTTTATTGTTGTGTGTGAATAACAAGAGACTGCAACACATAAATCAGCCGTACCTTGGACAAAATCTTTAGATTTAATGTTGTTCATAACACCCGTAGTTTTGTAAATGAATCTGCCAAATAACCAAATTTTTTTCCCCACGAGAGGTGTATTTAAATGTTTTTATATTATTAATATAAAAACAAGTAGCTCGATTTGTCATATTTTAATCCATTTTCCTCGTCGATAGTCGCAGTTGTACAGAGCCAGCCGTGCCCCGTGGCTGGGGATGCATATCTCGGAAGACATGCTCTTTTCGGCTTAACTCCGGACCGCGGTCCGCTAATCCGTGACCTCTGCATTAAACCAAAGCCAAGAGTAACGAGTAACGTTTGTTTTAAAAATGTAAGGAATAGACAGTACAGATATTTATGCGAAAATGTAATGATTAAAAGTCAGAAGTAGGAAGAAAAAAAAATGTAATGGAGTAAAGTATAGATACCTTAAAAGTGTACTAAATTTCAGTAAGCAAATATTTGTAGAGCCTGCCTATATACTAACAAACCATTTTATTTTCTCAGAAATCTTAAACATTTCTTAAAGTTTTCCACAGATTATTCCTGAATAAACAGAATTTGTATTTTCTATAATATTTTCTGGCAGAATATATTATATTCTAACAGAATATTTACACTCATGTGTGACATTTTCTCATTCTGGAAAAATATGAAAAAATGCTCAGCTGTTTTTTTATAGATTAGAATAATATAAATTAAATAGTTCATTTCAGGTCTTTATAGACGACAGCCTGACTCACCTCTAACTGTGAGTCTGAAGGCATCACTCCAGTCTGTTATCTGGTAGTCTCCTCTAGCCCTGCATTCATATTCTCCACTGTCAGCTGCAGTGATCCTGTATTCACTGGATGTTGGAGAGTTTCTGCTGGTTGGTCTCCATTCATACGTCCACTGAGTTCCTCCATCTCCATGGATCTCACATCTCAGAGTGACTTTCTCTCCTCTGAATATCTGGGACCAGTTGGATTGAAGGATCACAGTGGGCTTAGAGACTGGAATGAATAATATAAAGTTAGAAATCTGATAGAAATGTATAAAAATAAAAAAATACAGTAAACTTAATTGATATGGATTAAAAATAATACTCCCTCATTAAGGAGTGATAGAAATAAAAAATCTTATCTATTTAATTTGTTTCTTTCTAATAACACTACAACATTTATCGAAATCCCAAAAGCCAGAAGATGTTTCATAGCTTAACAACATTAGGAATTAGAGAGACAGATATATAGCAGCAAGAAATCACATTGAATACAGAGATAACCATTTCTACCAGCCTGTCAACATATAAACTCAAATCATTTTAATATCTGACCCCATAAATTGTAGGAAGTTTTCTAGATCATGAGTCACAGATTACTTGGACCAGTTATTATGTCTGAGGTTAGAACTTTTCTCTACCTTCAGACCTGGAAATATCTGTTTTTACTAAAGCTGTCTGAATTTGGTTTGAATTTGTTAGAGTGAAAATAAAGTTGTTGTTTTTTTTTTTTTAGTTTTGCTGGAAATTTGTCCTTTATTCATAAGAAGTCTTTTTTCATTCTAGAATAAAGACCTAAACTCAGGAGTTTTCTGAACGGTGACCTCTCTGCTAAAGCTACAGATCGTTTTTTACCCACAAGAGTTTCATGAACTAAACTGAAGTAAATGAACTCTGTCCTTTCCCTGCATGTGTGGTTTTAAATTGATCTAGACAAATTGTTGTTGAGGTTAAACCATGAGGATGATGGGGGGCAGTGAAAGTCATTCCCAGTTGTTTCAGTTCTCCATTGTGTTACCTTCACACTAGAACTCTTACATCAATCTGACCAACTACATAGTTCACAGAGGGGTGTAGGGTGTAGTGTGGACATTGGGACCAGACCCTTCTCTGCACACTGAGGAGATAATTCATCTATTTAATTTAGGTGTTTGAAGCAGCGACACATTTAAAGGGAGCAGGACACCAGACCTCAAGGACTGGAATTAAAGATCTGTGATCTACTTTATGCCAGAATTGGGAATCTCCTTCATGGATTAAATATCATATTTTCATCTGTTAGACTTTGTTACTTTGGAGATTTATTTTATAGATAGAAGCTCCAGAACTAGAATCCATCTCCAGTAGTTATTGTGATAGAGGTCACCTTTCTATCACAGAGAAAATCAGAGACACACTGGATAAACAATCATGAATGCAAACACTCATACAATAACCAAAAACCAGTAGAGAGTCTTCTTTTGAGGGCAGACTACAATAAACATTTAAGAAATAATATTTTCATCAAACAGACAAACTGTATCTGAAATGCTTCTAGTTGTCAGAAAAAAATGTATTCCACTGTGATAAAGATTCAAAGAGGCATTTACTGTTTGTTTTTATAATGATTCAGCTCTTCCCCTGTAATTCTCTGTTGTTTATTCCAAAATAAGATAATAAATCACAAACTCTTCATGCACCAAATATCAACAGATGGAGAACAGAAATAAAGTTTCCTGGTTAAACAGTTTCAAGATGTAAAAAGGCAACAAACTCACCAGTTTTCCTAATAGAGGTTTCATTGCTTGTTTCTGTTGTAAAAACTGGATCTCCTCTTCCTCCTCTGCAGCTGTATAGACCTCCCTCTGAGATGCTGATGTCTCTGTATGGCTCAATGTTTCCTCTGGTCTGGACTACGGAATATTGTTGCCCATTTCTGAACCAGTCAAACTTCCAGTCAGCAGATCCATCCACAGAGCAGGTCAGTCTAACACTGCCCCCTAGTGGTATCGTTGTTTTCTCTGCTCTCAGTGTGGCTCTGGGTTTATCTGCTGTTAGGTTGCAAACAAAAGGTAAATAAATATCACATCATAAGCCTTACATTTGTTGAAAAAAAAGAAAAAGAATAAATACATTTTAACCACATCTAAGAATCTTTATAAAATGACTGTCATTTTATATTTAATTTAATCATTCATAATAGAAAATGAAACTAAATATACTCTCAGAATATAGATTAAAGTTAGTTTATTTTGCATTTATTGAAGTTAAGTTTTTACAATTTTTAACATATAACATTATGTTTTAAACATTGCTTTACTCTGTGGTCAATAGTAACAGGAATACCTGTTTAATTATTTATTTAAGATCAAAACAATAAGGAAATATTTTACATTTTCCTCACATCTCACTGCCAGTGTTAAAGCATCACTCCATTCTGTTATCTGATGATCTCCTTCAGCCCTACAGCTGTATTCTGCACTGTCAGACGTAGAGACTCTGTTGATCCCGTATTCACTGGATGTTGGAGAGTTTCCGCTGGTTGTTCTCCATTCATACGTCCACTGAGCTCCTCCACCTCCATAAATCTCACATCTCAGAGTGACTTTCTCTCCTCTGTATACATCAGACCCACTGGGTTGTTGGATCACTGTTGGCTTAGAGACTGTTCACAATAATTATTTGTTTGTTAGAGTGTTACATAAAAATGTCTTTCCTGAATTATCTTCATTGCTACCATTGAAATGTAAATAAAATATTTCAAATTCAATCAATCAGCTAATGGAGCTACCATCATATAATTATTGTTTTTTTATTTTATTCAAAGCTCTCATTAATATCAAAAAATGAATACTTAAACATCCCTGATAAATAGATGAGAGTTGAAAAAGCATTTTTCTAAAATGTAGAGCTAAACTCACCAGTTTTCCTAATAGAGATTTCATTGCTTGTTTCTGTTGTAAAAACTGGATCTCCTCTTCCTCCTCTGCAGCTGTATAGACCTCCCTCTGAGATGCTGATGACTCCGTATGGCTCAATGTTTCTTCTGGTCTGATCTACAGAATATTGTTGCCCATTTCTGAACCAGTCAAACTTCCAGCCAGTAGAGCTGGACACATAGCAGGTCAGTGTTATACTGCCCCCTAGTGGTATTATTCTCTGATCCGATATCAATGAGGCTGTGGGTTTATCTGCTGGTGGAAACAAACAGAAAATAGACCATCATTAGAATGAGTTTTGGTTTAGGAAAATCTTCACTGAAATAAATCAGTCCTTAACCTCTGAATGAGTCATTTATCTTCTGTTACAAAGCTTAGAAATATTGTTAAAGCATGGAGATACAGGAAATATAGATTTGATCTGCTTTAAGGTTTATCAACAGGACAAGTGTAGATGGAGGAAAAAAACTTCCTTTATTTTATGTCCTTTAGCCTCTAACGGCAAATTTACACTACTGTTTGGTATTTTCACATTGGGGCTCATTCAATCATCAAACAAAGTTGCCTAATATTTTAATTAGGTTGATGTGTATGAAAACAAGACAAACTAAACATGTTCAGTCTGACTCACCTCTAACTGTCAGTCTGAAGGCATCACTCCAGTCTGTTATCTGGTAGTCACCTGCAGCCCTGCATCTATATTCTCCACTGTAGGATTCAGTAGCTGTGTTGATCCTGTATTCACTGGATGTTTCAGAGTTTCTGTTGGTTGGTCTCCATTCATACGTCCACTGAGCTCCTCCACCTCCATGGATCTCACATCTCAGAGAGACTTTCTCTCCTCTGAATATCTGAGGCCAGTTGGGTTGAAGGATCACAGTGGGCTTAGACACTGGAATAAATGATATTCAGTCAGAATACTGATATAGATGTATATTAAACAGAAACTACAGGAAAATTAATTGTTCTGGATAACAACTTAATCTCAACCATGTGATATATATATACGTAAATAATATATATACAAATAATAAACATGTTACTTGATTTGTTTCTTTCTAATAATACAAGATCAAATATCTAAATCCCAGAAGCAAGAAGACGTTTCGTTGCTAATATATAAAAAATACACAATTAGAAAGACAGATATAAAGCAGTAAGCTGTCACATCTAGCACTGAGATAACCATTTCTACCAGCCTCTCAACACATAGACTAACATTATGAACTAAATCACTTCAGTGAAGTTTTCTAGCATCATGTGTCACAGATTGCTTGGACCAGGTCTGTGAATTTATAACTTTTCTCCACCTTCAGACCTGAAAATATCTGTTTTTCTAAAGCTGTCTGCATTTGAAAATGTTGAAGCTTCAGTGAAAACCGAGTAAAAGTCATTCCCAGTTCTGTTTCAGATCTCCATTGTGTTACCTTCACACTAGAACTATTACATTAATCTGACCAACTACATAGTTCACAGAGGGGCGTAGGGTGTAGTGTGACCATTGGGACCAGACCCTTCTCTTCATACTGAGGAGGTAATTCATCCATTTAATTCAGGTGTGTTGAAGCAGAGACACGTTTAAAGGGAGCAGGACACCAGACCTCAAGGACTAGAATTAAAGATCTCTGATCTACTTTATGCCAGAATTGGGAATCACCATTGTAGATTAAATATCATATTTTCATCTGTTAGACTTTGTTACTTTGGGGATTTGTTTTATAGATTCAAACATCTGCATTATTGAGCATCCAGACGGCCCATGAATAGCTCCAGAACTAGTGTTCATCTCCACTGGTTATTGTGATAGAGGTCACCTTTCTATCACAGAGAAAATCAGAGACACACTCATACAATATAGAGACTATAACAGAAGGTAGATTACAATAAACACATAAAAAAATAATATGTTCATTAAACAGACAAACTAAATCTAAAATGTTTCGAGTTACAGAGATAACCAGTTTGCTATCTGAGCTTTTAAACTACATTAACATGTTTATCTGTATTATGTGCATAGTTTTGTTAATGTCTATCATTTCTACGTCTGCTAAAGGTTTTCTCAACAGCTTAATAAATAATTTGGTATTGAAAATCTTACTTTAACCAAAATGATGACATAATACTAATGATTAATAGCTTGGATTTGAAGAGAGTGTTAATTTGGCCAGATTAAAATAAGAGAATGAAAATAAATAACAGAATAAAAAACTAAACGCACCAGTTTTCCAAATCTAAATGTCATTGCTTGTTTTTGTTGTGAAAACTGGATCTCAATTACAATTTTCATTTTCAGTTCCTAGCTCTCTTTTGTTGGAAAAGATGGATTCTTAAACAGCACTGATTAATAGCTGAGATACAAAGAGATCATTGGTTTATCCCAGAATAAAACAATAAACTCACCAGTTTTCCTAATAGAGAATTCATTGCTTGTTTCTGTTGTAAAAACTGGATCTCCTCTTCCTCCTCTGCAGCTGTATAGACCTCCCTCTGAGATGCTGATGACTCTGTATGGCTCAATGTTTCCTCTGGTCTGGACTACAGAATATTGTTTCCCATTTCTGAACCAGTCAAACTTCCAGTCAGTAGAGCTGGACACAAAGCAGGTCAGTGTTATACTGCCCCCTAGTGGTATTATTCTCTGATCCGATATCAATGAGGCTGTGGGTTTATCTGCTGGTGGAAACAAACAGAAAATAGACCATCATTAGAATGAGTTTTGTTTTAGGAAAATCTTCACTAAAATAAATCATTCCTTAACCTCTGAATGAGTCATTTATCTTCTGTTACAAAGCTTAGAAATATTGCTAAAGCATGGAGATACAGGAAATATAGATTTTATCTGCTTTAAGATTTAAAAACGGGACAAGCGTAGATGGAGGAAAAAAAATATTCCTTTATTTTATGTCCTTTAGCCTCTAACTGCATATTTACACTACTGTTTGGTATTTTCACATTTGGGCTCATTCACTCATCAAACAAAGTTGCCTAATATTTTATTTAGGTTAATGTGTATGAAAACAAGACAAACTAAACATGTTCAGTCTGACTCACCTCTAACTGTCAGTCTGAAGGCATCACTCCAGTCTGTTATCTGGTAGTCACCTGCAGCCCTGCATCTATATTCTCCACTGTAGGATTCAGTAGCTGTGTTGATCCTGTATTCACTGGATGTTTCAGAGTTTCTGTTGGTTGGTCTCCATTCATACGTCCACTGAGCTCCTCCACCTCCATGGATCTCACATCTCAGAGTGACTTTCTCTCCTCTGAATATCTGAGGCCAGTTGGGTTGAAGGATCACAGTGGGCTTAGACACTGGAATAAATGATATTCAGTCAGAATACTGATATAGATGTATATTAAACAGAAACTACAGGAAAATTAATTGTTCTGAATAACAACTTAATCTCAACCATGTGATATATATATACGTAAATAATACATATACAAATAATAAACATGTTACTTGATTTGTTTCTTTCTAATAATACAAGATCAAATATCTAAATCCCAGAAGCAAGAAGACGTTTCGTTGCTAATATATAAAAAATACACAATTAGAAAGACAGATATAAAGCAGTAAGCTGTCACATCTAGCACTGAGATAACCATTTCTACCAGCCTCTCAACATATAAACTAACAGTATGAACTAAATCACTTCAGTGAAGTTTTCTAGCATCACGTGTCACAGATTGCTTGGACCAGGTCTGTGAATTTATAACTTTTCTCCACCTTCAGACCTGAAAATATCTGTTTTTCTAAAGCTGTCTGCATTTGAAAATGTTGAAGCTTCAGTGAAAACCGAGTAAAAGTCATTCCCAGTTCTGTTTCAGATCTCCATTGTGTTACCTTCACACTAGAACTATTACATTAATCTGACCAACTACATAGTTCACAGAGGGGTGTAGGGTGTAGTGTGACCATTGGGACCAGACCCTTCTCTGCATACTGAGGAGGTAATTCATCCATTTAATTCAGGTGTGTTGAAGCAGAGACACATTTAAAGGGAGCAGGACACCAGACCTCAAGGACTGGAATTAAAGATCTCTGATCTACTTTATACCAGAATTGGGAATCACCATTGTAGATTAAATATCATATTTTCATCTGTTAGACTTTGTTACTTTGGGGATTTGTTTTATAGATTCAAACATCTGCATTATTGAGCATCCAGACGGCCCATGAATAGCTCCAGAACTAGTGTTCATCTCCACTGGTTATTGTGATAGAGGTCACCTTTCTATCACAGAGAAAATCAGAGACACTCTGGATAAACAACCATGAATGCAAACACTCATTACAATATAGAGACTGTAACAGAAGGTAGATTACAATAAACACATAAAATATAATATGTTCATCAAAAAGTCAAACTAAATCTAAAATGTTTCGAGTTATCAGAGATAACCAGTTTGCTATCTGAGCTTTTAAACTACATTAACATGTTTATCTGTATTATGTGCATAGTTTTGTTAATGTCTATCATTTCTATATCTGCTAAAGCTTTTCTCAACAGCTTAATAATTTGGTATTGAAAATCTTACTTTAACCAAAATGATTACATAATACTAATGATTAATAGCTTGGATTTGAAGAGAGTGTTAATTTGGCCAGATTAAAATAAGAGAATGAAAATAAATAACAGAATAAAAAAATAAACGCACCAGTTTTCCAAATCTAAATGTCATTGCTTGTTTTTGTTGTGAAAACTGGATCTCAATTACAATTTTCATTTTGTATCGAGCTCTCTTTTGTTGGAACTGATGGATTCTTAAACAGCACTGATTAATAGCTGAGATACAAAGAGATCATTGGTTTATCCCATAATTAAACAATAAACTCACCAGTTTTCCTAATAGAGATTTCTTTGCTTGTTTCTGTTGTAAAAACTGGATCTCCTCTTCCTCCTCTGCAGCTGTATAGACCTCCCTCTGAGATACTGATGACTCTGTATGGCTCAATGTTTCCTCTGGTCTGGTCTACAGAATATTGTTTCCCATTTCTGAACCAGTCAAACTTCCAGTCAGCAGATCCATCCACAGAGCAGGTCAGTCTAACACTGCCCCCTAGTGGTATGATTGTTTCCTCTGCTGTCAGTGTGGTTCTGGTTTTATCTGCTGTTGGGTTGAAAACAAATGTAAAAAAACAAAGAAAATCACATCATCAGTCTTATGTCATGGAAAGCTCTTTGTTTACACCTTAAAGCTTTTTATCTTTGGTTACTTTCCTGAGAAGAGATCACTAGGGACAAACTCTTTAAATAACACTTCATAATGTTAATGTATTAAATTACCTGGAGACCTGACAACAGATTTTGACAGAAATTGTTTTGTCAGAAGTTGCTTTGAATGACAGAAGCTTACCAACCGGGCTCACATCTGATTGAATTCGGCCCCAAATCACAGTTAAAGAAGCATTTTATACAGCTCCAGTCTGCCACATCATGACATCATTACATCATACACGTTTGTAAATGAGGAGACATCCATGGCTCCAGCCTAATCAAAGTATTATACTATGTTCTTAGATCAAGGCTCTCATTCCATTCCCAAATCTTTGAAATATACGTAATGAAGATGACTTTTTATCCTGATTGAGGAACTATCCCAATTAGATAAACTACTTAGGAAAACTTTAGTTTTGACACAAAACAGGCAGGTATTACGAGGGGAATTGTTAGGGATTTGTTAGATGGGTTAAAAATATCTTTCTTTACCTTATCTAATAATCTTTACAAAATGACTGTTGTTTCGTATTTAACTTAATTATTCATAGATCTTACATCTCAGTGTAAATTTGTTTCCACTATACATCAGATTCATTGGGTTCTTACATCACTGTTGGCTTAGAAACTGTTCACAGTTCAGAGTATTACTTAAAAAAACTGCTTCTGAATTATGGTCATTGTTACCAAGTGATAACCTAAAAGTAGAGAAACCTCAAAATATGACGACACATTTTAGAATGAGTTTAGTAAAACAAGCACATTTTTAACAAACAATCATTTTCGATGATAAAAACACACAAGTTCTTAAAAACTAGCTTATATATGAAAGCCATAGTTTTATGTGATCATCTATTCCAGTACTCATTCTGATCAGTAAAACTGTAATTTGATTAAATAAAAAAATACTAAACACTTAGGGAAAAGAAATGAAATTAAAGAGGAGCATATAAACGCTTTATGCTGTTCACATCAAATGCGTTTTGAGAGTAGAGCAGTGGTGTCAAAAGTCCACACATTTGTTACTTAAGTAGAAGTATAGATACTGCAGTTTAAAAACACTCTGGTAAAAGTTGAAGTATCAACTTGACCTCTTTACTCAAGTAAAAGTGAAAAAGTATGTGCTCCAAAAACTACTTAAAGTATAAAAGTATAAAGTAACCATTAAAAAAAACAAAAAACACCCAGATGCCACAATATGAATCGAAAGCTAAATTTTTCGACTATTTCAAGGAATTCTTAGAGATAGGACCAAGGATGAGGGAGGTCTTGTTGGTCTCCATCTCCCGATACGCTCTCGCCTGTGTCCGACCTTTCAGACATTTCAACATGTTTTTTTGAATCCGACATTGTAGCATGGCATAGACAATTCACGTTTGCAGTTTGAAGAACATCTGCTTGCTTCTGATGATTTCCTTTAGCTAACTAATGAATAGGATAACAATGACATAGTTTTGGTTTTGTTTTAGTTTTATCTCTTAGTTTTCATTGGTTTTATTTTTCATTCTTATAATAATAATAATGAATTTTATTTATAATGCACTTTACATTTGACTTCAAATCTCAAAGTGCTACAAAGTGCTACATTTAAAAAAAAGGGAAAATTAAAAAAAATTTAAAAGACCATAACACTAAAAAACTGAGTTAAAAGACAATCATTAAAATCAATACATTAAAAGGCATATGTAGCCTATTAAAAAAATCTAAAATCAACAATTGTAGGCATTTCTAAAAAGGAAAGTTTTCAATCCTTTCTTAAAACAATCCACCGGCCCTAAGTTGGTCTGGGAAAGCATTCCAAAGACGGGGAGCTGCGGCTTCAAAGGCCCTATCTCCCATTGTTTTTAACCGTGTCCTGGGTGGGGCCAGACGGTGCTGTTGGCCTGACCGGGTCCGGGAAGAGGTGTGTGGTGTGAGCAGTTCAGTGAGATAGGTGGGGGCCGCACCGCGCACACAGTGATGGGTGTGCAGAAGAATCTTGTACTCTATACGGGCATGAATAGGGAGCCAGTGTAAAGTGTGAAGGATGGGAATGATGTGCTGGTGTTTCCTCACCCTCATCAGGACCCTGGCAGCGCTGTTCTGTACGTGCTGGAGCTTCTGAAGAGATCCTGATGAGGAGAGCTTTGCAGTAATCCAGCCTGGAGGAGACGAAGGCGTGGACCAGCTTCTCTGCAGCAGGGAGGGATAGGGAGGGGCGGAGTTTAAAATATTACGGAGGTGAAAGAAGGACGTTTTGCAGATGGAGGTGACATGATTGTCAAAGGAGAGGTGGGGGTCAAGCTTGACCCCAAGGCTTGTAACAGAGGGAGACAGGGGAATGGTATGACCACAGAATGAAACAGAGGTGAGAGGAAAGGAATGAAGTTGATGAGGAGTACCAGTTTGGATGGCCTCTGTTTTTGAGGCATTAAGCTGCAGGAAGTTTTGACTCATCCATGCCTTTATATCCTCCCCTCAGGAGCTGAGGCGGGTGACAGAGTTGGCGGGGGAGCTGGGGGGAGTCATTTTAATGCAAAGTTGTGTGTCGTCAGCATAGCAATGGAAGTTGACCCCATGCCTGCCCACGACACAACTAAGGGGGAGCATGTAGATGGTGAACAGGGTAGGGCCAAGCACGGAGCCCTGGGGGACCCCCAGGGCCACATACTCGGTCCTGTCAGTGAGATAGGAGTGAAACCAGTGGAGGGCAGTGCCAGAGAGACCAATGAAATGCTGGAGGCGGTGGAGGAGGATGTGGTGATCTACTGTGTCAAACGCAGCAGAGAGGTCGAGAAGAATGAGGAGGGACGTGAAACCGGAATCAGAGCCCATCAGCAGATCACTGGTGACTCTGATGAGAGCTGTTTCTGTGCTGTGGGAGGGACGAAAACCAGATTGGAATTTTTCATACAGATTATTGCATTTAAGGTGGTTGTGGAGCTGGGTGGAAACAACTTTTTCTAGGAGTTTGGAGATGAATGGGAGGTTTGAAATGGGTCTGTAGTTTGACAGAGGTTCAGGGTCCAAGGTGGGGGTTTTTAGGAGGGGTTTAATGAGGGCAGTTATAAGGATAGATGGGATGGTACCCGTTTCCAGGGAACTGGCTATTATTTTGGTTATGAGAGGACTAATGGATTGATGGTGAGTTTAGAGCAGAGGGGATGGGAGGGGATCTAAAGAGCAGGTGGATGGTTTAGATTTGCGGATGATGTTCTCGACCTCCTGCTGCGTTGGCAGAAAGAAGTGTGATAGGAGTTGTGTGGGAGATGTCTGAGGGGTATCAATAGTGGTGCTGTTTGAAGGTGAAAGTGAAGAGCGGATGCTGTCTATTTTTGATATGAAGAAATCCAGAAACCGGTTGCAGTTTATATCTGTGTGGTTGTAGAAGGAGGAGACCGTTGGTATGAGAATATGGTTGATTGTGGAAAAGAGTTTTCTGGAATTACCTGGGTTATTTTTGATGAGCGAGGAGTAGTAATTGGACCTGGCCTTGGAGAGGGCTGTTGCATAATTTCAGCAATGTTCCCGGTAGGCCAATTTATGCACCGTCAGGCCAGATGTTTTATATGCCCGCTCCAGGACACGGCCAGACCTCTTCATTTGCCTTAGCTCTTTGGTAAACCAAGGAGCGGAACGTGTGAATGTGACAGTCCGGGTTATTACAGGAGCATGAGTATCAAGGATGAAGTTGAGGCTTGTGTTGTAAAAGTCCATTAAGTCACCGGCTGATGAGAGTGGAGAGGGGGAAAGGTGCAGAAGATGTGAGTTGAAGGATGAGGAATCATTGTTTTTGATGTTTCTGAAAGTGATATGGCGATTTGGTTTGGTGAAAAAGGTTATGGGGAGTCTAAATGTAACTGCCAGGTGATCTGAGACACCAACATCATATATGTTGATGCTGGTGAGTGGAAGGGAGTCAGTTACGACAAGGTCCAGAGTATGCCCTTTGCTGTGGGTGGGGCCATCTGTAAGCTGTTGAAGATTTAGACAGTCCAAAACCTGTTTGAATTCGGCAGCTAGTCGAGAAGTGTGTGAGTCCATGTGTATATTGAGATCACCAATAACAAGAATATTTGAGTGTGCAGTGCAGAGAGAGATTAGGAACATTCTTGTATTCTAGTTATTTCTGATTGTATTTGAGTTCTTAGATATTTCCTGTTTTCCCTCTTATTTCAGTCTCCTTTCCCCGTAGCTCCCTTCTTGCCTCTGTTCACACCTGCTGCCAATCTGCTAATTAGCCAGGTCTCTGTTTCTCTCTCCCATTTATTCTCCTCCTGCTCAGTCACTCTTTGCTGGATTGTTGACATTACTTTGTCCCTTTCTTGTTCTGAGTATTCTTAGTTTTGAGCATTTTTAGATTTTTGTGGATTTATATTTTTGGATTTTTGCTTCTGTTAAACTTTTGTCATTAAAACATTAAAGTAACCACCTCAAGCTTTTGTCTGCATTTGGGTCCTATTAAACATCAACCACCCCTACTGTGACAGTGTGTTGCCGTTATATCACTCATCCAATTATACTAGTTTTCACTTGATGTGGAAGGCATCGATGATCTGCACTGGATGGTGGACATGATGTGAAATAAATATTTATAAACATTAAACCAAAGCCAAGAGTAACGAGTAAAGTTTTTTTTTAAATGTAAGTAAAATAAAGTAAAGAAACTTGTGTGAAAATGTAATGAGTAGAAGTCATTGTGTACTTAAGTACACTAACAAAGTATTTGTACTTCATTACTTGACACCTCTGGTGCAGAGCATCTGATTTACATGCAAAGTTTATGGTAGATGTCATCAAGCTGAGTCGAGAAGTCCTCCAGTATTTCAAGCCATGTGATGTCTTTTGTGCTACAGCGTGTTGGGTGTGCAATGCTGTGGAATAAATAGTGCACTTGTAAAAAAAAAAAAGTCCATTGGTATAAATAACGTGTGCTGGCGTTATATGGATATTTTATCATTAAGGGGCTGTCCTAGTGTTGCTCAGCCACTAAATTTTCTGACATTTTACCCGATCGGGTCACTGCAAGAAGAAACTCGAACAGGGGATCCCTGATCTTTGGGGAATGACAGTATGAGCATGCATCTCGTAACCTGTTTCTGTCTAATCACACTCACTTCAATAATAAACATAAAACTCTCTATTTGTTCTCCTTGGACGAGAAGAATAAATCCTTTTTAAGAGGCTATGAATTATTAATGTAAAACAATACCAGGATGTGATTGCACATAAAAACCCTTCAGAAAAACTGTCTCTATCAAGTACACTGATGTATTTTATCTATATTTTGTTTTTTTAAAGTGCTCCATGTGTGAACTTACTGTATGCTTCGATAGTGTTAGGTTGAAGGTGATATGATATATTGATATTAAAAAGATACAGTGTTTATTGTCTAGTAGTTCCTCTCATATGACAGCAGATGTTATAAATGGTTGAAATCCTGAGAGTGACATTAAACTGAAATCTCACTCCATATGGTATAACTTGACTTTTAAATGTCTATCTAGAAAATGTTTTGTTAGGACCGTCATTGACCAGCTTTAACATCTTAAATGTTCATGAGTACCAGAAGAGGCATTTGAAGTAAACTCAAATTGTGCCTTTTATGACTAGGGGCTAATATGTGATGCTCTTGTCCTTACTGCAAAGTCTTATCCTATATTATTTTTTTTCCCCCAAATTTTATTTTGCTCTTTATTGTTTTTACTGTCTTGATGTGAACCTATTAGAACCATTTGGGTTCTAATAAATTATGTTTTCTGGACATCAGCTGTGTTTGCTCCTTGAAGCAGAGCTGCATTTCTACTTTGGGGCTCCTGTGGAATGCCCTCAGTTATTTTGTTTAGAATATGCTTAAATTGCAATTATATGCTTCTTTTATTCCCTGTACCATGATGATATTCTGTGTTACATTTCAAAAGCTGTGGCATCTTAAAGTGCAAAGCAAGCAACACTGAAATTTTTTTTAATGGCTTAGTATGAGGACACCATATTATAAAGCCTTAAACTGGTTTTGGGAGTTTTACAGTAAATAATGTATTTAAGAAAAATTAATACCAACCTGCATTCGATTATTATAAACTAACGGTTTGCAATACTGTGGCATGTCTGAGCATCGGTCGCGGCGTGTCTTGGTGTCGAGGCTTCTGAGCATCCGAATGTTCGACTCTGGAGTTCAGAAAACTGAATTTTTATAGCTTGACAAAGAGCCTCAACCTATTCGGAAACCTAATTCAGACGTTTGCTGGTTGAAAGACACAAAATGCAAGTCGTGATAACTTCAGCAGAGCCGTCAATATATGAAAAATGAATAAATATAAAAAGGCTTAACTCCACAGGTTTAAAAAAATATATAATAGATTTTTTTATGTACAAGAAAGAGCAAGCTCTGATTATTAATATATTATTAATTTGTATATTATTATAATATTATTACATTATTAATTTCCACTAAAAGACTTCTGACTGAACAGGGTTGAAACAGTAAATAAATGCCTACAATTCCAAAAATTATACCTGCCAGTAAAAAGTAGTTCAATGTCATACTCTGGTACTTTTTGTTTTTATCAAAAATTTAAAGAACGCTTTACAAATTTAGCAGCTACGGAGGAGAGTAGGAAATCCCAGACAACCTGGCCAGCTTCAGACAGCTTTTAATGGAGACTCACAGCCCTGCCGCTTGCTGTACAAGGGGAGATCTGGCTCTCCAAAAAAGAATTTAATATTTTAGTAACATCATAATCCTGATTAACTGACAGCACAAATCAGGGCAGAGTAAGAGGGGAGGCCAGTGGGGCCAATTATTGGACACGGCTTTATCACGTATGCCAGGTGAATTGTTGTTCCAATGTGGATGTAATTCACCACCTCTGGAAAAAGCAGATCTCCTCTAATCAGCACTGATATTCTCATGACTAGTTTGCTGCTTTTAAATTTTAAAGTTAGTATAGTAAGCAAAAATTACTAAAACATTTAGAAAATGTATAATTCACAACAAATATATATATTTCAAATAAAGAGAAATTGTTGTACAGATCTGCTCATTATTAGTTTAGATGTGGGTGCATGAACAGACATTTGTGTGTGCACATACACACACATACACATTTTAGTGTGCAACTCTGCAGCACTTCTCAGCAGGTGAAAGAAATCTGGCCCAATCAGCAGCACCCTCAACTCAGGTAATAAGGAATCCACAAACCACTTTACTGGTTTTGCAACAGAGCTGAGGAAGGCAAACACAGCCTCCAAAGAAGCATTTCATGGAAAATGACTTATAAGGACTACCGGTAAGCCTTTAACTGGGCTCAATTGATTGTAATTTAACTGTAGTTTTACAGTTGAGAAATAAAATGCAAAATTTATTGAAGTAACAGTAACAGTCTGCTAGCTTTACAGTTTGGTTCCACTAAATGTATGTTAAGATATCTAATGTAAAAATGTATGTCCTAAGAAAA